GTAACAGGCTCCTATTATAGTTAAGTTTTACTATATGTAGTCTAATGGATTATTTCTGCTTGGCATAAATCTTTTCCATAACATAACAAATCTTTACCATTTGTGAAGATTTATATATGAGGACATATCTGGGGTCACCCTAACCAACTTCCTCAGACTGAAGACGCTACTTGGATAAGCAGCAAAACATTTCAAACTAAAAAAGAAAAGAAGTCCAGTTGCCATGACTCAACTTCCAGACAATTCTACCTGGATGACTGAGTCTTCATTGACAGATCTTCACCAAGTTTTTCTGGTTTGCCAGCTCTTATATTTTTTGGAACATGCCATCCTATTTGGTAACAATTATCCACATTTTGAGATGGGGAAAAATGTTTTTTTTTTTGTTTGCTTCCTTCCCCTAGCCATCACATTTCTATCTAAATTCAAGAAACATACCTGGATAGTATTGCATATTCAATGGGGTTCTTTTCAAAATGTTAACTAGTATAGTATAGCTGCAAATCTGCTTACAAATGTATTTAGAAATGATGTATCCTCATTATTTAAAATGAATAGTTGGTTGCCAATTTATTTATGGACATATCAAAAGTGCTATTTTTCAGTTTCAAAGCCTAATCATTTATAGCTCTAATAGGTGTGGTAAGTTACATGCATAGTTTTGAACTCATCCTTTCCTCAAAATGGTAACATACCTAAAACACATAAATCAAAGTTGGCACAATATATTTAATTTGTGCATCACAAACAGGTGAGTAGAAAATGGCTGAAGAAGATTGGGAAACACATACTGAGCATACAAAACAAGATACTTGCGATTAGGAGAATGAGGAGACAACTAGCACTATTGGATAGAGGATTTTAATAGAAAGAAGGAACCGATAAGCTGAAATATCAACAAGAAAATGGTCTCAGACTGTTGTGACAAACTGATATAGGGAGCTTTCTCAGCAACAAAATAATTTTTTTCTTACATCAAAGATCTTCTAGAGTTGGAAAGTACTCATAAGAAAAGAGCCTGCTAAACAATTGTGATTAGGAAGGTGATTGAAGTCATGTACAGAGAATCGCAAAAGGAAGCTCTGAGGGCAAAGAGACCTGTACTGCAAATAATACAGGGATACTGTAAAAAGTAAAAAAAAGTGAGATTAAGCCAACAACTAGAAGAATCAATATTTAGATGTGACCAACCAAGAAGGTACATTAAGCATGAACACTTCTAAGCAACACCCTCTCCTTTGAAAGAGCTACACTTAAGACAGATCACTCAGCAATATGTTGCCACTTAGAAATATGTTTAGTGTATGCAGTGCAGACAGTCCTTGATTAACAACAATTCGTTCAGCGACCATTCAAAACTATGACAACGCTGAATAAGGAGACTTATGGCCAGTCCTCAAAGTTGCAGCTTTATCATATCTCAAATAAATTTCCTTCTCTCTCAGTTCCAGCAGTGCCAAATTATCTAATTCGCTTTCCAGTTTTTAATTTCTATTTTACTCTCCAGAATATCTACTTAATATGTTTTACATCTGCAGATACTTGTTTTATAGAGATTTCCATCTTCTCAACTTTTTCATCTCCTCTTTCATCTTTATAAGTTTTTCATCCATTCTTTTTCCAAAAACTGTCAACTTAGTATCAAGGAATTTAATCAATATAGTATCAATTGATTTGGAACTTATCACCCAATTCCTGAAACATTTTCTAACGCAAATCTGGTGAAATTCCTCTTTCTATGGGTTGCTCTATTGATCCTTTCCTCTTTTTTGCTGTTTTGTCGCTTTTTATGGTGGTTGTCATTGTAATATTGTAATCCAAAAGTGAAAGTGTCTCAATTACAACAAAAGAATAAAAGGCAAGGTTTCCCCTTTTTTTCTGTTTTGTCTTCCTTAATACATATGTCTAAAATGGTACTTGGTATTCTAATATTTATATAAAAAACTAATCATTAGATTTTAGAGCAACTTCTTAAATAAAATTTATTCTTCATTTTGAAGATGACTAGGTGGAAGAATAAACTATATTTAGCAGAAAACCCCAAACACACACATTGGCAGAATCAATTTTGCAATCTGAAATTAGGAAAATTCAGTACTGTATCCACAGTTTAAATACATTTGAAATTAATCCAGATTCAACCTGTTGAGCTTTTTTCTTCTTTTTAAAGCACACAATTCTATGAAAAACTATAATAGGAAACTTAAACCACGGGCTCTTTAAAACTGCATGAGTCGATTCCTATGACATCCTTCGCAAAAGAAACAGAGCCTTCAGTTCAGCCAACATCAGTCTCACTACTCTTTGGACTTAAGCCAGTTCACCTTCCAACAGTATTAGTAAATCCAAATATAAACAACTGGCAGTATATATTTCCACAGGAAAAACAATGACTCTTTAGGCAATTTCAATTCTAGCACATTAGCTGTGCTAAATATTTACTTCACTAACTGCTGATGAAATGAATCTGTCATCTTGGAGTTAACAAACTTTTCTTATCTTGAAGTTAAATATAGAACTTGCTAGGCTTTCTACTGGGTATAAAATTAAATTTGTAGAAAGAAAAAGAAGAAGCAGATAACTGAGTGTTGAAAGGAAAGCACTTAAAAGTAGAAGCGTTGGAATACTATACTGCTTGGGACATGAAGTCTAAAGGTCATGGGAAACCACCATGTTGAAAATGACTATATTTAATATCAGTCCTTTAACAGAGGAGACACAATGAGAGGAGGACAAATGACTGTACTGAGTATTAATCACAGGAAAAGGAAGCATTAAAGTGATACAGATATAGAAAAGATAAAAACTGCTCTCCTGAGGTGTTGGTATTACAATTACTAGCAATCCCAAAGATGCTTTTCCAAAAGGCAACTGGACTTTCTTCTCCAATTGTCTTTTGGAAAAGCTCTTTTGCGACAACCATGACCTGGATATCTGAGAATCTCCATAGACAATTACTAGAAATCTGGGATTAAAGCCCAAGTGTCTGAAGAGGCCATTCATGAATTGTGATGCTAAATTATTTTCCTAAACTTCAATTTACTATTGAGCTTTTGTTCTATAGAGCCTGGAATTTAGCAAACATATTATTTTCTATACATTTTTCTTCTTGATACTAAGAAATGGATTCAGAATATGAATCCTAGTTGTGTTTGAAGTTTGTATATTTTAAAAAATGAAAAGATGAAGCAATGTCTCTACAGTTTGGCAGTTCAAGTCTCACTGGCTCAAAGTTGACTTGGCTGTCCATCCTTCCAAGGTCGATAAAATGAGGACCCAGATTGTTGGGGGCAATATGCTGACTCTGTAAACTGCTTAAAGAGGGCTGTAAAGCACTGTGAAGCAATATATAAGTCTAAGTGCTATTGCTATTACTAAATTTAATGACCACCTAAAGGACTGCATTAATTCCATATTGATACAAATGGATATCATGTGGCTCTTTTTTTATACTTCTGTCATATTTATAGCTAAATTTTAATCATTATACATGTAAGGAATTTTCAGTTGCTTACCTACCATTGTTTTGTATTTATGAGTTTTTAAAAGGCTGTGAATTGTGAAACATTGCTTCCTTTCCAATTATTTATATTTCATTATGTGGATGAGATAATAGAACCATTCTCTGTGGAAGTTATTATTAAAGGCAAACTAAATATTGAAAAGGACAAATTGAAGGTGACCTGTAATAAATACTAATGTATAAATTGGGAGGTTTACATGTGCATGCAATATTGCCAGAATGAGAGATAACAAAACTCTAGATTCCCTCAAGGCCTAGCTTTAAGTCTTTAAAAGGAGAACATTAAAAGATTTTAACTTAAGGCTAGCTGGAAAGATAATTAAGAGTAAAAAGCAATTAAAAATATTACTCAACTATCCTGAGACACTGATCCTGATGGAAATGTATACTAGAAATAAATCTATGTTTAGAGCAATCTTGATGTTTAGAGCAATCTAGTACTAAAAAAAAGTTATATCTAAGTAGCAATCTTCCTCAACACATTCTTGATAAAGCTATAAGAGGAAAATTACCACATACCTCTGTATGTAGTATCCTATACTACTAAAACTCTTATCCTGAAACTTGTCTTAAATTTATACAGCCAAACATTTACCAGATACAGTCTACATAGCAGGTTGCAATGCCTGACCTCCAGACAGCATGTAATGTTCAATGTTACAGAGGTTTTTTGGGTTTTGGTTTCCTTATTTTTAACTTTTATTATGCATGAAATAATATAGTAACAATTTCTTTAAAATGTATACTTTTCTGTAAACAACTTCATATGCCATATATCGTTTTCTTCATTCAGGAAAGATGCACATTCAGTTTATAAAACATTACAAATACTAGTAGATCATTCTAGACAGAAACACTACAATAACAATCTAATCCTATTAAAGTTAAATGCCTCCAAAGGGCATTTCCATTCCCGAAGGGTGGTCTAGTGTTGCACAAAGCCATAATAGGATTTGTAAACCACATTTTACAGTTGAGAATGTCATGTAAACCCAGCCAAGGCTAGTTATAGTTAAGAAAACTGTAGTTAAACAAGCTCTGGCTTACTGCAATACATGATGTCACTTGGGAATAATTTATTCTCTTGACACAGCTGACCCCATATAAGCTGCTACTGATCAATTTTGATATCTGAATCCATCTTCTTGGCCTAAGTCATCATTTTTAATATCGCAATTGGGATCAGACAATAGGAAGTCAAACTTGGTGGTAGGTGTGGGACCATATGTCATTTTTTTCCGGCAAATACGCGGTTATCAGCTAGCAAAGGAAGATAAATGTGTGGGTAAACCCACCTCCTCCCGACCCAAATCCCACCAGGCGAGGAGGGAAGAGAGATGCGGTAGAGAGCTTAACTCTTGGGCTCTTCCGAGAGTTACAGGCGACTATTTAAGCTCGGAGCAGCAGGAAGGAAACTGCCTGGCCCTCGCTCACCCGCCATAATCGGTCCGGGAGGCAGCCGCGAGCGCGTTTTTACCTGATAAAAGTGGTCTTCCCGGTGCTGTACTGACCCACGAGAAGCACCATGGGCTTGTTGTCGAAGTCTGCGTCCTCCAGGGCGGGCGAGTGGAACTCATGAAAGCGGTAATGCTCCTCCAGCGGAAGCAGCTTCTTCGCGTAAAGCTCCTTCAAACCGCCGGTCACCGTTTCCACCACGTCCTCGCTTTCGCCAGGCTTTTGGCGCCCGCTCTGCTTCAGCCAACTGAACATGCCGATGGTCGCTGTTTAGCGGCCGGTCCCCAGCCTCTCGCTTGCTCGCTCGCTCGTTCGTTCGTTCTCCCGCCTGGGCTGCCACCAGACTGAAAGGCCGACCCGGCAAGCGGTGAACCCCGCCCTTCCTGGTTTGCCTGCGGTTGCCTCGCTAAAGGGGAGGGACGTCCCGGGGCGGAGGCTGCAAGCGCCATGCTCCGTGTCTCCTTCTTCCTCCTCCTCCTCCTCCTCCTCTTCTTCTTCTTCTTCCTTCTCTCCTGGAAAGCGGGTCCGGCGGCGACTTAATAAAAGCACGAATTTTATAGCGTATCGGGTGATAGGAGCCAGCCCGAGCGGTTAAGTTATCATTCGGTGGGACTGGAAACCAGGAAATTAGGTCAATTAATTAAACCCTACGTTTATTTTTTGGGAATCCAAGTGGAAGAGGGCGCGCTCTCCTTCCCAAGAGCAGGGCCGACTACACCGGCTTTCCCCGGATTATCCGGATGTACCGCTAAGGAGGGGGGGAGGCCAATGGGCAGCTTCTGCTTCTGCTCAGCGACCCTCGAAAGGCGGTCGGAGGTTCTCTAGAAGTGCCAGCCCATCCCGTCACGTTTCGTACAAGCGGAGGAAAGGAATCTCGGGTACTCTTTTGGGACCCAGCCGTCTGAAAGTGCTCCGCAGTCTTGGGGAGTGTCGGTCTGAGAAAGGGCGGAGTAAGCCAACCTCCTGAAGGTTATCAAGATTCCCATCAATCTAAGTGGGAATTCGTTGGCAAATAATGTCAGGCATCACCTTTCAGGGTCTTGCCTCAGTCTTGCGAAGTTATTCAGAATCAACAGGGAAACGAGAGCTCAACTGAAATGGAATAAAAAAGTACTTCCTGTAAATAATAATAATCCAGGGCTCTTTATTATGAGGCTCGGTAAATGAGTTTCCTGCCAAACTCCATGATGGAAAAAAGATAATTTAGAATAGTAAGCTTTGGTTAATAGCTAATCCTCAACTGGCAATTATGGCATATAAAGAGAGCCTGATCTTGGATTTTGCTGTGGCTTCAATTATTATTAAACTAATCTTCATGTCTTGTCAATTCTTTGTGTATGCCTATGTTTGTGTAACTCACCGAATTATTTTTAACTTTAATTCTTGTTACCTTTAATGTGTATTTTTCTGTGTGACTCTGGGCCTGTGGTTAGTTTATGGGTGAGTATAAGAGTTGTGGTGCAGTGTTTCTATAAATATTATTATTATTATTATTATTATTATTATTATTATTATTATTATTATTATTATTATTATTATTATTATTATTATTACTACTACTACTATTATTACTATTATTACTATTAGTATTATTATTATTATTATTATTATTATTATTATGGATCATCGCACAGTCAGCCAGATGTTCAGACTGGATTTGGCATTTTGTCTATCTATCGAGTCCTTATCAAGGACCTGGGATAGGCAGATGTGGATGTTTGATGGTATTACAGATATCGTCCCAGGATGGAAGCAGTTCCTAGTAAGGCCGCCTTTTACAATTGATTAATGGCAAATTTGTCAATGCCAATGGTGTTATTTTATTTTTATTTTTTATTTTTTTAAATTTATTATACATCTTTCAAACATAGAATGCATTAACATACATACATTTCAATTCTAACATTACACATTTTAGTTATATAACTATTAATGCATACTTATAATACCATCCCAACTCTCCCCCCACCCCATTATCCCCCTCCCCCTCCCTTTCCCCCCCTTCCCCTCCCTCACTTCCCAGAACTGAACACAGGGTTACCAA